TTTTTTCTTCCCTTTGACTTTCCATTTTTTGAGTCAGATTATCAGAGGCTAATGCATAGAGGAGGTACTAACCACAATTTGCTCATGTTAGCACTTGGCTTATTATCCGATACAACTGGGAATTTCATTATTGCCCACCTGGTTTCTATGCATATACTCAAATTAGTATGACTTTACATATGCCATGTGTTCTGGATTGTAATTCTTACTCTCTTCACCATGTACCATAACTATGCTGTATTTACTGTCAATTGCCTAGACCAGGGGTAGGCAACCTGCAGCTCTCTAGCTGTTGTGGAACTACATTTCCCATGAGGCATTGCAACATTACAAAACTGACAGTTACAGCTATGACTTGCAGAGGCATGATGGAACTTGTAGTCCTGCAACAGCTGGAGAGCCGCAGGTTGCCTACCCCTGGCCTAGAAAAACATTATATACATGTGTTGACATGTGACTGTTACCTATATGTGGACCTAAATGTGTTTCTATGGTCTGACTTATACATGGCTTTTTCTTCTGTACTTTTAGGTGTTCAAACTTAATAAAGTGAGATTAAAGTGTACAAAATGTACACTTCATTCACAGCAATGTACAGCAGCTCGATGCGCTGCACTTTTGCACATTGCCTTGCAATTCGGCACAGTGCGCTGCGATAAAATTCTACGTTGCATTGAATGGGACACATAGAACACAATTGTCCCTGCGGTGACAGATGTTTTACAATGCAGTAAAACATCTCCCACCGGAAATTTTTGCAAGTGCATCACAAAAATGCTGTATACATATATGGTTTATAAAGTGACTTAATCCAGGACATATTTTTTCGTTTTTATGTCTATGTCTTGTCAATAACAATGCTGCTATCAGGTTGTCTCCCTAGATGCCCTTGCTGCTTACAGGCTTCTTTCTGATGAACACTTTCAGTGTGTGGCGAGTGCACAGATCTTTTAGGCAAGGGTGAGAGGGGAAGGAGCTCTCAGGTGCATGGACTTTTCTCCTGCCAGGGCTCCCCTCCCTGCTGCTGGGGAAGAGTGCCACCTGGCTGCAGACAGAACCTTCCAATCTAATGTCATGGGGCTTCACCACCGGCACTGCACATGCATCGGGAATTTGGCATGTGTGCAGTTACAGGGTCCAGACCAGCATGACATTACAAGCCAGAAATTGGGTCAACATCCAATGTGGGGCCATATAAAGGAGCTGGAGGGGGCCCAAATTACAGCAGAAACCCCCGAGGTGATGCACCACAGATTCATTCACAATATCCATTATAGGTAAAGGCATCATATAGTCTTGCTTCTTTTGGGAGAATTGTATTGTGCGGTGCTCAGGATCTTGGCTGTGGGGAGGGAAGAGAAGAGTGGAGTGATGTGGAGTTATACAATACTGATTTTTAAACAAAAAGTATCAGAAAAGGCCTGGTCTTAAAGCGGTTAAGGGAAATATGCCTGGTCTATTTTAACTGAAAATATGAGGAATTGTGGAGCTGCAGTGGGAGGCCTGATATTTCTTTAGGAGTTACATTCTCATTAGTACAGCATAGGCTCTGTTCAGATGTTGATTTATTAGGATTCCCCACTTTCCTTCTTCCATACAGTATCATTTGTGGCTATACAGCAGGTAAAATAAGTATTGAACACGTCACCAATTTTCTCCGTAAATATATTTCTAAAGATCCTATTGACAAGAAATTTTCCCCACGTCGGTAACTACCCGTGCAATCCATAAATACGAAGAAACCAAAACAAATAAGTTCAGAAATTAATTTAAATGTAATAAAATGGAATGACACAGGGAAAAGTATTGAACATAAAGAAAGGGAGGTGAAAAAGGCACAAAAAGCCAAGACACCAGCTAAAATCTATCAGTAATTAGAAAGCAATCCTGCCCTTTGTCAGTGCAAGTTAATATCAGCTGGTTCAGTCTCACTGATGTCACACAAGAAAAATCTCATGATGGGTAAAAGCAAAGAGCTCTCTCAAGACCCTCACAACCTTATTGTTGCAAAACGCACTGATGGCATTGGTTACAGAAGGATTTCTAGACTTCTGAATGTTTCAGTGAGCACTGTTGGGGCCTTGCAAGATTTCTGACAGAAGAGTGAAAAAAGTTATCCGAAGAGCTGTCCAAGAGCCAAGGGCCATTGGTGGAGAGCTTCAGAAAAACCTGAAAGTAGCAGGTACAATTGTCTCAAAGAAAACAACAAGTGATGCACTCAACTGCCATGGCCTGTATGTACTCTAACCACACAAGACTCCACTGCTTAAGAAAAAAGCATGCTGAAGCTCGTTTAACATTTGCTGTACAACATTTAGACAAGCCTGTGAAATATTGGGAGAATATAGTCTAGTCAGATGTGACCAAAATTGAACTCTTTGGATGCCATAATTATTAATATTACTACTATAGGTACTTATTTATAGTGCCATCAATTAACGCAGCGCTTTACATTATATATATATATATATATATATATATATATATATATATATTAGTACATTCACATCAGTCCCTAACCCTCAAGGGGCGTACAATCTAAAGTCCCTAACTTACATTCATACACATACTAGGGAAAACTTAGACTGGTAACCTACCAGCATGTCTTTGGACTGTGGAAGGAAACTGGATATCCGGAGGAAACCCACGCAGCCACAGAGCAAAACATGCAAACTCCAGGCAGGTGCTTCTGTGGTTGGAACTCAAACCAACAAACCTAGTACTGCCAGGCAGAAGTGCTAACCATTTAGCCACTGTAATGCCCCACATACACACCATGTTTGGAGGTCAAATGACACTACACATCACCCCAAAAACACCATATCAACAGTGAAGTTCGGAGGTGGGAACATCATGGTGTGGGGCTGTTTTTCAGCATACGGTTCTGGCAAACTTCATGTTATTGAAGGAAGGATGAACAGAAAAATGTACCAAGACATTCTTGATAAAAATCTGCTGCCATCAACCAAGATGATGAAGATGAAAGGAGGGTGGACATTTCAGCAAGACAATCATCCTAAACAAAAAGCCAAGGAAACTATCAATTGGTTTCAAAGTAAGAAAATAAAGCTGCTAGAATGCCCCAGCCAATCACCTGACTTGAATCCAATAGAAAATATATGGAAAGAACTAAAGATCAGAGTTCATAGAAGAATCCCATTGAACCTTTAATATTGAAGGCTGTTTGTGTGAAAGAATGGGACAAAATCACACCTGAGCAATGCATGCGACTAGTTGTTCCATACAGAAGGCGCCTTGAACCTGTCATTATCAACAAGGATTTTGTACCAAGAATGAAATAAATTTCATTTAGCAGTTCAATACTTTTTCCCTGTGTCATTCAATTTTATTACATATAATTTAAGTTTCTGAACATATTTGTTTTGGTTTCTTTGTATGTATGGGTTGAATGGGTTGTAAACGACATGTGGTAAAAATCTCATGTCAATAGCACCTTTAGAAATATAATTACTCAGAAAAATGGTGACATGTTCAACACTTATTTTACCCGCTGTGTGTAGCCCATCTAAATAGCGTCAGTCCATCTTGCTATTGTTCACTGGTACCCTGGAGACAAATGAAAATCACCATAGCAAGACAGTTAGTAAAGTTCCTCTCTTTCTTTTCTCCCCCTTTTCCCTCTCTCCACCCCCCTCCCTTTTTTTTCTTCTATTTTCCACCCAAACCACCTTCCACCCTTCCCTCTCACCCTTTGCCCTCTGCTTTCATATTTTACTTTATGGGATGTTATATCTTATTATTTTCCCCTCTTTTTCATTTGTATGCTCTTGAGCTACACTATCTTTTTTTCTTGCCACCCATGGGAGGGAATCGATTATTTTATGCTATTATAGCTTTTATATTTTCAAATCGTGTGCATGGCTGAACCAAATTTGATGATGTCTATCTTCTGATGTGCCCCCTAGTTACTCCAATACAGTGTTCTTGGTGGTAAGGGCCAGTCGAGGCGGGGTTAGTAAACAAAATGCAATGAATATATTGATCTATGCGATGTATACTATATTATGACTGATGTGGAAACGTTACATGTACTGCATACAAGCTTAAAGTATGCTTTTGTACACTCCCTCAAATCCTCTTGAAGAAGTGGGTGATTGCCCGTGAAACGTGTTGAGGCTTATGACACCCCACATATACACTATTCACAGAGAAGAATAAAATGGTCCAGTGTGATCTAATGTTAACAGTAATATGTTGATAGTATATGGGTGTCCCAAATACAAGGAGGTATTTGCAAAAATATGGCTATGCAAAACATTGTCTATATATGTTTTTATGGTCCATGTGTCAATACACATTTGTAGAAATTGTATTTATTTTGTAATCCTTGAGCAATAACAAACTAGATTTGCCCATCACATTTAAATTCAAAACTTGATTTGCTCATCTTCCGTCTTACACAGAGTGGATTCTCTGAAAATAAATGCCATAAAATACAGGACAAATGTTCGGCAAACATTCACTGAGCAAACTGCAAACTGAATCCGTCACAAATAGACCCTTTAGTGTGGATCTTTCATACTTTTATGCAGTATTTGACTAAGGGCTCATTTATGCCACAATCCCTGCTCTCAGAATGCAGTCCCACATGCACGCTTACATGCATTTCTAATGTGTTTATGGAGTGTTTGTGGCTCACATATGCAGTGTGTATTTTTGCAACATTATTTATGTTGTTTTTTTAAGGGGGAGTTCTAGTTTCATGTCCTTGCTTTGCATTCACATGCGTTCAGGTATGTTTGTGTGCAAAAAAATGCATCATGCTGTAATTTTTTTAAACACACATGAAAGCATTTCAATGGTGTAAGCACTGCATCTGGTGTAAACATACGCTTAAAAAAAGAAAATTTGGAATCTGTGCTTCGGAATATGGTATCTACCCAGGAACACCCTACAAAATAAGGTCCTGTTATTCATTAATAAAACATTGGGGCAGCCAGCATTATACGCATGTCTCTGTAATCCATTTTCATGTGTACCTCCTGAATCTTTTGCTTCTCTTGCATTTTGCGTAGTGCAGCTTCCTCCCTTTGCTTGTTCAGCTCTTCCAGCCACTTCTTCTGCTGCTGCCGTTTGACAGCACTAAACGGATGATCTAGTGGTGCTGCTTCCTGAAATATACATACAGTAAACAGTTTGGCAATGCAGAGTGGAGAAACAGGGCAATTTGCAATAATTTTAAAGAAACATACAGACAATATCCAAGTATACAATAAGCTGCTGCACAGCTGCTGAGTCAAGTATGCATGTCTGCAAGTGCAGTGCAATGGGAAGCGGTTTTAACCTTGAACTTCGTAGAGGGTTTTTCACTCTCAGGGTGGTAAGAATGTGGAAATAATTTCCACCATTGGTGGTGTCAACACGAAGGATTGACAGTTTAAAAAAAAAACTCCTGGATGGGCACCTTAGCGAACACAGTATACAGGGATATGGGAAATAATGTTCCACATGAACACACACCCATACAGGTTGAATGGACCGGACCCAGTGTCTTTATTCAACCTTACCAACTATGTAACTATGTAAAGCCCCTGTCAGCTCCAACACATGTAAATGAATGAATATAACTGGCAACCTGCTGTAGCTCTTGCAAAACTTTATTTACGTGAGGGAATACAACATACTGTCCTCCTGACTCATAAGTATCAACCCTCAGTGGGCCCTAATGCTTACCACCTCAATACCATACCGCGCCATAGCCAAAAGATGGGTACAGCGTGGCTCTCTTGTTCTGGGAGGGTGTCCATGGATGTCCTCCCAGAATGCTTCTCCCTCTTTTTGACACAGCTGATCACAGATCGAGGTAAAGGGTCAATCACAGAGGCTCTTTACCATGTATCCAGTCAGCTTATCACATGTAAACAAACTTGCCAGGTGTGGGCATTCATTTCCTCACTCACTGTCACTGTGTGAGGAAAGGAGAGACGATAACTGGCAAGGTTGTCCAGGCGCATTTACACTGATAATCAGGGCACTGATCATCAGTGCCCTGATTGTCAGTGCAGCCCCATCAGTGCCAATCAGTGTCCATCAGTGTAGCTTATGAGTGCCTATCAGGGCCTCCTCATCAGTGCTGCCTTACCAATGCCCATCAGTTCACATCAGTGAAGAACAAAAAATTACTTATTTTCAAAATTTTATAACAGAAACGAAGAAAAAAAGTTTGTTTTCAAGATTTTTAGTCTATTTTTCACCTTCAGGTTATACTGCAAAAAAAACACAGTAGAAGAAGGAAAAGGAGGAAAAAGGAGAGAGGGAAAAAGCTGGTCTCTTCAATTGCAGCAATTCAGCTCGGGCATCCTCAGCCTGGCTTTTGGAGTAATGCTTCTAAACCCCACAGAAGGGGTTGGGACAGAGGGCTGACATCGCTTGCTGGGTGGAGTGTAGCGCACACTCTGGGCTTGATTTCTTACCATACAGCTTTGGGGAAGCATCTTCTGCTGTTGCTCCTACTTGCAAAGAGAAACATGGATCTCCATTCTTCTTCCTGCTGCCCACCTACAGTGACTTTGGTCACCAACGGGAATACAACCCTAATTTGCTAGCAGATAGGATACAAGGCCAGGCTTCAGATACGCACAAATCTTGAGCTGGAAAACAAGGAATAGAGGGCGCACCAGCCTTGCACATTACCTTTAACAGCTTTATTGTATAAATAGGATAAAATATATATACTCACAAATAGCTCATAAATACAGGCAGCTGAGTCCACAATGCACTCAAAGCAACTTGGTCACCTTGGCAAGTCCCAACCACAGTAGGACCATCCAAAACTGACTCCCCTCTTACTCAGATCCCTCCTCGAAGGGTGTCAGTCTTTTGGATGGTCCTAATGTGGTTGGGACTTGCCGAGATGACAGAGTTGCTCTGAGTGCATTGCGATATGCTTGTATTAATGAGCTGTTTGTGAGTATATTTTATCCTATTTATACAATAAAGCTGCCAAAAGGTAGTGTGCAAGGCTGGTGCACCGTCTGTTCCTTGTTTTCCAGTTTTCTTCCTGGGTATCCCCAGCTCTTAGAGGGGCAGCAAGGCATGGGCTAGCTACAGAACGCCCTGCTCCTTGTTTTCCAGTTTTCTTCCTGGGTATCACCAGCCCATAGGGGCAGCAAAGCCTGGGCTAGCTACAGAACAGCCAAGATTCTGAGATCCTTCACTTGCCAGTGCACCGCTCTTGAGTTCAAGAGATTTTTTCTTTCTTGGTTTTGTCTTGTACCCTGAGATTTAGGATTGCTTAACATCATTCAGCTGCCATATGTCGGATTCTAAAAATGGGAGGGACAGTTTGGCTTTACCGGGTGCCCCTAGAACAACTAATGGCTTCAGTGCTGCTTACAGCACGGCCACTAATGCAACCGATTTTCTTCAGTCTGGAATCTACTTTTGTATGAGAGAGTCCTGGATCTGATGGTAACCTCCTCTGCAGCAATCTCATTTAACCAGTTCCACTCCAGACTTCTATATAAAACATTCTGTCATTGTAGCAAAAGTCTAAAAAGTGTCTTGACAGATTTATTTGGCAACAAGTACCAGGTTGCCCCTGGCTAGGGCACAGAAATCCAACTCTGGAATTGGGGAAGTCCTTCCTCCCAGTCTTTTGGAAGATTGTCAAGATGGATGCCAGTCTGTTGGACTTAGGAGGAGTCCTGGGCACCTTGTTGGTAAAGGGGGCTTAGTCATAGGAGAAATCTCGACTCCCAATCAACATCCTGGAGCGTCAGGCGATTTAACTGTCTCTGCAGCATTGGACCATCTTGCTGGAGGAGGGTCATCCTATCCAGATTCCATCAGACACGGCAACGGCAGTAGCATACATCAACCACGAAGGAGTAACCAGAAGTCTCGCTGTGGTAAAAGGTATAGCAGATCCTGTCCTGGGCAGAACTTCACGTTCCAGCCTTGTGTGCCATCTATGTCCCAGGCATAGACAAATGGCAAACAGTCTTTTTCAGCAGTATCTGGACTGGGGGAGTGATCTCTACATGTAGAGCTGTTCCAGGACCTGTGTCACATTGGATGTGGACCTCCTGGCCTCCAGGTTCTACAAACTAGACCAGTCTGTCACCAGGTATAGAGGGTAGTCACGAATATGAAATTCAATGTGTTTTGTGATGTACAATGAAGAAAGATGTCCAATGGTTATCGACCTAGGACACTAGTAAAACAGTGAGATATGCTGGTTGTAAGAGGGGTTCTCCTGGGCTTGCCCACAAATTTTTTGTTTGCCAGTGTGCAGTCCTCCTGTAGGTAGCAGTATAACCAGACAGTGAAGACTTCCTGTGCCCCTCAATGGATGAAAAATAAGATGCAATGGGGTTGATTTACTAAAACTGGGGAGTGCAAAACCTGGTGCAGCTCTGCATAGAAACCAATCAACTTCAAATTTTTTTTTTCAAAGCTTAACTGAACAAGCTGAAGTTAGAAGCGGATTGGCTACCATGCTCAGCTGCACAAGATTTTGCACTCTCCATGTTCTAGTAAATCAACCCCATCTTATCAACATTGTTTCTAGCTCTGGGCTATGAAACTTTACCCCTATGGAAATGGTTATCATTGTAGGACAGGAAGTGTGACTGGCAGGTGAAAATAAAGGGGAATAGAAATCTTTTTTGTGTTTTGCAATGTCTGTAGTCGACCAGCTGGCTACTGTATTGTTAGGTAATTTTCTTTTAAAAATAAATCGCAAAAATCCCAAAACACCAAACAGCATAAGGCTGAGATTTTTTTGGAGATTTTTGTAATTACTATTTAGGTTGGGGTTAATTCAGTTATATTTCAGGTTCCTTTTTGGGAGAATTGTTACTGTTCTTATAGTAGAATTTTTTTTTATACTTTTCCACAATACTAAAATTTTCACTTTACAACTGATTAGCAAACACATTTAAACTATAATGTCTCATTAAGCATATTTGGTAGCTGAATGCAGTAAACATACCCCCAGAACAAATGCACTCCGGATGGCGGCAGGGAGCTCTGGAGAGCTGAAACTTGAAGCTCTATCAACAGGTGAGTAATCAGTTGTCTCTGTGCCAGGGGATGTCTTAAACATGGAATCTGGAGTACTGTAATCATTCAGGGGTGTATTCTAGAAAAAGAAGCAGAATTTACTTAAAGTATCCAAGTTAAACTCCTCTCCTTAACTTCAGGTGCTCCTAAGCCAAATTAAAGCAGCAGCATATTTTAAGTTTATCGCCTTCACTTCCCTAATTTGTTCACAGTAGTAGACTGCCAACACTAAAAATAGAACCCAGTTAAGAACGCTGGCTATCTCTATCCCAGTCTGTTTAACGGAATTATATGAAGCATAAATAAAGATCACGCATATACTTAAACTTGCTATATATGAAATGCAAGAAATGGTTTTGAAATTAATACATAACTGGATTAAATGGTGTTTTAGAGCTGCTTGAATGCAGGCTTTAAAAATAGATTTACAATGTAAAGTACAGCAATCATGAAAAAACTTTTATAAAACAGAGACACAATTGTTTTTGGCTTCCTGTAAATGGTGGTTGACTTCTGTATTAAACAGCAAGGCTAAGTATACATTGCTTGACAATGGAACTCTCCATTACATGATGCCAAATGCACCACAAATGCTGTATATAAAATGAACCTGTGACCAGGTTTGAGACAATTAAGTATTTAAATAGTCTTAATAAGCAATAAAATGAGCATTATAATAAAGCCCTAATTGACCTCTGTAGCGGCAATTAACAGACAATATGGCTAATGTAGTTACTCTTCCTTACTTTTGGAAGATCAGAATAAGGTGTCCTTTCTGAAACAGATGATTCTATCCCCTCATGATGCCTAACGTTGATTCCATCTTGATCAGCTTCCATCAGTTTCTTCTTTAGGGCCACCTGTTCATCTATAGGAAAGCAAAAACAAAAAGCTAGAGCTATAAAACTTCACAGTAGGTCACAAAAAAAAAATATTCAGAGCTCTTTCAGGGGTTTAACTAATCTTCAAAATAGTTTTTTTTTGTAAATGTGTACAAAATGCAAAAACGGCTCTGGCAGCGAAATAGTTTACTAGACTAGACTGTAAAATCATCGGATTCCTGCCTAATTGAATATCGAAGCAGGAAAGCTGCTTCGTAAAATAGCTTTCATAAGAATAAAACATGCTTCCTCCTTATTGTCCTGTGGAAGTCTGTTTCAGTTCTTATTCCCTGTAATAAATTTACCACAAATTAAGTAGGAGGAGTTTGGACAACTAAAACATTGCTGCAAAATATTTTAAAAGGATAAGTTCACCTTTGGGAACATGTTACATGTTCCACGTTCCCAATGCTGCAGTCGCTGCCCATCCCCCAAGCCCCGTGACAGCAGTACTGGGGACGTTCCCCATACTGATGTCAGTTTTTTAAATCAGCACAGACGTGTGGGGCTCCGCCCACACGGCCACATCAATTATTCACAGAGTTCTATGAATGAATGAACTACAAGTCCTGACAGCCTAAGAGGCTCTTGGCTTGTAGTTCATTGATTCTTCCTGTCCGTATATCTGCTTGCCTGTACATTCCGTACGAGCAAGCAGATATCTTGACAGGTCTGCAGGAGAACTGCATGGTCTCCTGCGATCAGCAGATCGCTGGTGCAATGCTTTACAGGCACCTGCACCAAAAAATAATAAATGCATTTTTTTACCTGCAAAAAAATGTGCATTATTTTTTGTCAAAAGGTGAACTTATCCTTTAAATTTCCCTCAATTATTACATCAAAGTATTAGCATATAAAGCCACAGAAGCTCAGATGAGCAACTGAAAATAGTTAGAATTGTTGATTTAGAGTAAATATGCAAAGATTCAGCAGAGGGAAAACCAATTCCACACTCACATGGGTAATTTTAACATCCAACTGTACCAGCTTTAATGCAGAAGCCTCCTTCACCTAAATTACTGATCTGTACTGATGGTCCAGAAGAATTACTTTTGGCAAGAATCTGCACAGAACTTGCTGATCAGACGGCAGATGGCTCTGAACACAAAAGTGCGTTGCGTCTAACTAAACAATACACTCATGTCTGGAAATCGCCAAACGCAGGTCCAAGTGCCTGATGTCACATTTCAGGCTAGACCCACACCCATCCAGTTCATTGTGCTCCAGATACAGCCACCAACGCTAGAGCTGCAAAGCTGCTGGTCTGGATAGCTGTATATAGAGACCAGCTCATTAGCTTAAAAAGGAAGAAAACATTTTCTTGAAGAAAAAAATGACTAGCAAAAAGAAAGATTAGACTTTTCTCAGCAGAGCAGCCACAGTAAAACCCGATAGTCTCAATTCCTATGACCCTCAGGGAACTAGAAGAAATGGATTTTACTATAAATACAAATTCCAATTTTGTTTTGTGCTGTCTTATACTTTTTTGCTGTTTTTTTCCCCTCTGATTATTTAAAATGGATTTTGCTGTGGAATAAGTATTTTTTTTTTTTTAAGGGGGGGGGGGGGGGGGGAAAGAGCTGTAGGGAGCACAAATATGGAAGATCTGATTTGTAATGGGGCTTTAGTGGCAGTAATCTCCCCAGCAGTCTCATGTAATATGTCTGCAGTCTCAGACCATCTGCTGAAGCTCCTGTCTGCAGTCTCTGCAGTAATACATTCAATAAATATTATGTTTGACATCATACTGAAGATCCTCATATCAAGAAATCAGACCACCACTGACCAGGCTGAAACTGCACCATAGTGAGAAAGGCATGATCACAGTCTTTTAGCAGGAACAGTGTTTTAAGGCTTAGCCAGCGAATGGCTGGTTAGAGGAAGGTTGTCCTCATTCTTTTTAAACACAGACTAGTCAATCTACCATTGAAGCTAGAAGTGTTTCCTCCTATGTATACAGTTCAACAGAGAAAACAGCTATGGCAACAAGGAGTGTAAGGCAAGGTCACGCACCTAGCTCACGCTTCCACTGAGCTTTCTTTGCCTCTTGCAGGCTTTTGTCTTTTTTCACGTTCTCCCAGGGTACTGAACAAGCTTCCCGCTTGCCTATATAAATCAGAAGAGTATTTCTCAAACCAAAAAAATAATATAAAAAAAAAAACACTTATACCAATCAGACAGTAAAAGAGCTTTGCAACAGGTTCAAATGTTCAAAAATGTATACTTCACTTTTATACAGTTGCTGGCACAATTTTGCCCTTTTATATTCTCCAAAAAAAATGCAAGAACTTAAAAGTTCTGCCACAAACCAATGAGCACCTACCTTCCTGCAGTGAGCTGAAAATGTACAAAACAAGGGGGGCATCAAATGAAAAACACAAAACCCAAATGTTACAAATTTACAGGGAGGAAAAAATACTCAATTAACCGCTTACCTGCTGCTGTATAGCAGATATACTGCTACACGGCGGCACGGGTGTGCAAAAGCAAATGCATTACCAAGTAGGGGGTGCGCGTGTGCCCTACCCGCGCTGCCGTTCACGGCAGCGGATGTCAATCCTCGGGTCCCACCCAGTGATTACCCGCCAGTGCCCAGTAATTATCGACAATCACTGACGGGGAGGAAGACTGTTTTGTTTACAAACAGTCTTCCTGTCAGCTCGGGTACACTGCTCGGGATGGCTATGCACAGCCATCCCGATCAGTGTGCTTACAGTGAAGCACCCCCCCCGTCCCCTAGTAAAATACTCCCTACACACAGTTAACCTTTTGATCGCTCCTCACCTTAATCCCTTCCTGCCCAGTGTCATAAGTACAGTGTCAGTGCTGTTTTTTAGCACTGATCAATGTATTGGTGTCACTGGGGATGTCAGTGACACCAAGTTAGTTCCCCCCCAGTGTCAGAATGCCCACCGCAGTCCTGCTAAAAGTCGCTGATCGCCATTACTAGTAGGAAATAATAAAAAAAAATCCCAGTATATAGATCACCATTTTTAAACGCTATAACTTTCACGCAAACCAATTAATTTACTCGTATTGGGATTTTTTTTTTTGCAAAGACATGTAGCAGAATACATTTTGGCCTAAATTTATGATGAAATTAGGTTTTCTAAATTTTTTTTTACTGGACATGTTTAATAGCAAAAAGTCCAAAATATTGTTTTTTTTTCTCAAAATTGTCTGTCTTTTTTTGATTATAGCGCACAGGCGATCAAATACCACCAAAAGAAAGCTCAATCCATGGGGGAAAAAAAAGGATGTAAATTTCATCTGGGTGCGGCATTGCACAACCGCGCAATTGTCAGTTAAAGTAACGCAGTGCCGGAAACGCAAAAAATAGCCTGGTCAGGAAGGGGGGTAAATCCTCTGGAGGGCAAGTGGTTAATAAAGCTATACTGCTTAAATCATAAATGATCAACCCCAAATAAATACAAACAGAACAACACTGCAGCATATGCAACGAGTATGCAATTACGATATCTGTATACAAATAGAACATACACATCTTTTGGCTGATTGACTAAGGGTGATTCATCCTTTTCTGCTACTCCAGGATTAGCATCCTCCTCCTTGGTATATAAAAGTGGTGTAACACTCTGATCATCTATCTCCTGTGTATCTTAAAGAAAAGAAACAAATTAAATCAAATTTACTGAGAAAACCATTTTTAATACAAAAAGAAAAAGTATCATCTTAATAATCAGGGTAAAATTTACAGGCATATAAAACAACTGTACAGTATGTACCGAGAAAGCCTAAAATGTATGCAGTACATCGATGTCACAAATAACTGAGGTTATAAGGTTAGTATTTTTCTGTCGATTTTGTGAAGTGCAAGCCTTTTCAGTGCGGCTGCAAGTCAATAGAAATAAATTGGAAACATTAGATGCTCAGTCAACTGGCTGCAGGATGAGAACAAAGCAGATGCTGTATCTGAAAAGAAAATACTGTTCCGTCTACCCACAGTGTCATGTACACAAACGAAAAAAAAAAAAAAAGTACGGAGAAGACTTTCTGGATCAGTAATTGAGCTGTTACCATGGAGACCCCACTTATCATCAGGATAAATATCTGAAGAACTACAGTGGGACTGATAAACAAAAAGTAGAGCAAAGAAAGCTTCAGCTAATGTGGGGCCATAACCCATAGCATCAGACTGGCTGCCATGGGCTAGCATTTCAGATTTTCTTATTTTTTAGTAAACCAGTTGCAAAGTCTTCTGGACACCTAAAAACAGCCTCTTTTCCACATGTACTTGTACCCTTAAAGAGTAACTCCACTTTTGTGATGAAGAAAAAAATTTGCAAAAAAAAAATTAAGATATAGCGTATACACTTGTGACTCCAATCATATTGTAAGTGAATGTTTTTAAAAATGACCTTTCCTTTTGAATCTACAGCTCTGTAATTTTCTGTAAAATGCAATGCAATATGGCTACCTGGAGGCATTCTGTATACAGATGGTGTACAGAACGCCCCCTGAAAATGTCATTTTCTGCTGATTTTCACAGTAGTTTGCTTTAATGCAGGCCATACATGGGTCAAATTCTAAACAAATTTTCTTTAGAAAATTGGAAATTTGGTGCGTTTTGTAATCCGATGGTGCCACCATTGATTTCAAAATTCGACCAACCAAGCCTTAAATTTCACCTCATATCTCTACATAAAATAATTTTCGTGGCTGGGCATCTACTTTTCTTTCCAGGTCACAGTTCATGCTCATTTCTCGAACAATTCTCCCATCATTGATTAGAAATTAGTTTGTTTTTCAAAAAATTTCCAACATGCCCAATCCCTTAAATTCGATGGCCACACGAAAAATCGGCCGATGCTGCGATCCACTAATGATCTGAAATTTGAACAAAAATTCTTAGTTACAATTTTCTAAAGAAAATTTGTTCGGAATTGACCTTAACCACTTGCCTACCGGGCACTCATACCCCCTTCTTTACCAGGCCAATTTTCAGCTTTCAGCGCTGTCACACTGACAATTGTGCGGTCATGCAAGATTGTACCCATACAAAATTTTTATAATTGTTTTCTCACAAATAGAGCTTTCTTTTTGTGGTATTTAATCGTCGCTGGGCACTTTTTGCGCTATAAACAAAAAAAAAAGTGCAAAAACTTAAAAAAAAAAAAAAAAAAAAAAAAAAGCTTGTTTCTATGATAACATTTTTCAAACAGATAATTTTTCTCCTTCACTGATGTGCGTTGATGAGGCAGCACTGATGGGCACTAATAGGCAGCACTGATGGGCACTAATAGGCAGCACTAATGAGGTAGCACGGATAGGCAGCACTGATAGGTGGCACTGACTGGCATCACTGCTGGGTACTGACTGGCGGCACTGCTAGGCATTGAGTGGCGCAACTGCTGGGCACTGACTGGCACAACCACTGGGCACGGACTGGTGGCACTGACTGGCAGCACTGCACTGATGGGCACTGGTGGGCACATGTGGGTGGCACTGGTGGCTGCACTGCTGGGCACAGGAGGGCGCACTGCTGGGCACAGGAGGGCGCACTGCTGGGCACCGATCATCAGGGCACTGATCATCAGTGCCCTGATGATCGGTGCCGATCCCTGCTCTGACAACTGCCGGTTCTCGGCAGTACTTTCCTCACGCTCTGACAGTGCAGCCGAGAACCGGCAATTGCATTTCCCGGTGATCAGCGTGTCATTGGACACGGCTGATCACGTGGTAAAAGGCCGCTGTGATTGGCCTTTTACCACATCACGTGATCAGCTGTGTCCGTAGGACACAGCGATCACGGATATCGCCGGGGGCGCGCAGGAGAGTGCGTTCTGGAAGGACGTCACATGATGCCCTCCCAGAACTGGCCGGCCGCTGTGTAGCCGTCATTCGGCTATCTGCGGTCGGCAAGTGGTTAAATTATGGCCTGCATAATTTACAAGTCAGATTTCTGGCATCCCTTGCAACAAAAATGTCATTTTTGGTGAGATACACTCAAAGGCAAAACATGTCTAAGGGCTCTTTCAGACGGGACGGACCCGTTTAGCGGATCCGCTTGCTCAGCGGGGGATCTCTCCGCTGATCCCCGCTGAGCAAGCAGATGACAGCTCTATGTCCCCACCGCTGTTGCAGAGCAGACACAGAGCTGCTCGCTCTCCTCAAGGGGCGGTCGGATGAAAACGGATTGCCTGTCCGTTTATATCTGATCCAACGGAAGGGATTGGATGGATGTTGGCGGGTGTAAACGGACACATGTCCATTTACACCAGCCGCTCCATAGAGGAGAATGGAGGTCCTGACCGGGTCCGCCTGAAAAATGGGCAAGCAGACCCGATCGGAATGTTCGTGTAAAAGAGCCCTTAAGGGATGCAGACCTTTCCAATTTCCGCATTAGAGCCCTACAGGTGTAGCAGCTGATTGATAAACCACTCCCATACAGATTCACTCTGCACATGGACACAAAGAGCTATTTCTTCAGAATAACAAAAAGTAGGAATCTGCAACAAAGTTTGTTAAAATCCTTGCAATGTACACTGATCACCCAGAGGGAAATGTTTTTCTCAACAAAAGTGGAGTTACTCTTTAATAATACAGTCAAATGTTAAAGTTGGTCTCCAAGCAAACAGCTAAATACACAAATAAAATACACACACACGGTTTGCCTCCCAAAATATTTGAATTTCTGTCTATCCTATTCAGAGATTTACACAGCACAGCTAGACTGCAGAAAAAAAAAAAACACAGTAAAGTCCTCTCTTCACATCAATCCTACTGGCTAGACAGTGGAAAACCAACAGCAGACTGATGACTAGAGAGAGGCAATTTCAACACACTAGTAGTATCAAAAATAAAGTCTAACACACACTGAAACTAAAAAAAAAAATAAAAAAAAATAAATAAAAAGCTTTTGAAGATTACCAAAAATCAATTAAAATACAAAAAAAAAAAAAAAACACTTGAAAATTAAAAATGTATTGAACAAAAATTAAAAATGCTCTTAGGCTTCAAAGTATAAGACTCACAGATTAAACAGGGAAACATACCTTTGTCAGAGGTCTGTTCCTGTACATTTGGCTTACTACTCTGGTTGATGGTCATTAAAATCTGTTGGAACTGCTCCTGGGTGAGACAAACCAGACTCTCCCTCAGATTGTCAGCAGTGATCACTGGCTTGTACTGAGGTCTTTGTCTAGGCACATTAGAGAGCTTTTTGGACACAGGTTTGATCTTTCCAACATCTGCCTTCGTCTGCTGCGCATTTTGCTGAACAAGAGGAGTAAGCTTTTTATTTTCAAGTTCCTTAAGAACATTTGTTGGTGGTTTCCCAGAACCCAATTTCCCAGCTCTAGACTTGAGCACCGGCTGCTCGGTCTTTTCATTGTTATTCTGAACAGAATGGAGGACCTGAGGTTGGTGCTTTAATTTCAGTGCATTTCTTTGCGTCCTACCCCTGTTCCCCACCTGCAAACCAAAAAATTAATAAAGATAAGACAAAATAAAACAAAAGGTTTCACGTGCTTGTCCTTTTCCTACATTTTATACTAAAAGACAGCCAATCATTATGCAGTGTTCATTCTGATTCTAGGATGGCTCAATTATGCCCTCTTTGTGACTCACGTTTGGTAATTGGTAACGTTGCAGACAGTAAGGATTACAGAAGTAAAACATTAATTGCTGTAGAGATAACCTTAAAAGGAGAAGTTAGGACTATATAAAAAAATATACATATTCACCTCCAAGCTGCAGCATTGGTATGAAACTGCAGCTGTCCCAAATTGTCTCTAAACCAGAGAGCTGAGCAATACATGACCACTGATTGCTCAGTTCTTGGTCTGCTCAGAGTGGATAGCAGTGACCGTCAGTCACCACTCTCCGCTCACGCCCAAGAGCCAGCTATCAAAGCGCTGGGTGGATCCTGACAATACCTTAGAACCGAGCAATCACATGACCACTGATCGCTCAGTTCTTGGTCTGCTCAGAGTAGATAGCAGTGGCCGTCAGTTACCACTCTCCACTGGAATGGCTCTGGGATGTCAGCTGATAGCGGGCAATAACCCAGGTCAAAGGAGAGCAAAAGTAAGAGCACCCCTGTGACCCAGAAGAGGAGTATGGCTAAAAATGCTTTGGCCATACTTCTAGTTTAAGCAGTGTGTGTCTCCTAAGGCATCATGTAAACAAGCAGTTCCTAAACTCGAGTTTAGGAGCTTTTGGCATTATTTTACCAAAGCTCCTAAACTCAACTCCATAAAAGCCTATGTGTTCATCTACACATAGGCTTTTACTAGAGTTTAGGAGCTGCCGCGTTTAGGTGAGGTTAAACCTCCCTCTCCTGAACGCAGAAGAATCGTGTTCAGGATAGGAACGTTTTGACTGCTGACCGCGGGAAATCGTGAAACCACGGCAAACATTGCGGTACTGCGGTTGCCGCATGTTGCTGCGATTTGCATTTTCCCGCGGCCAGCGGTCAAGGTAGGCTTGTGCACATGAAGCCTAACAGTATGGCAGAAACCCAGGTTATCAGACACACTCCCAAACATGTCAGATGCAGTGTTCCTTAGGGTTGTTTAGATGTGCTGCAGGGCAAACCTTCCAAATCAGGTGCTGGGCCAGATTAGTATAAACTATTAGGTGCTGTTTGTCTGAAATATTTATGTTATCAGTAACAGGTTTGCTTTATAGTTTGGTAAACTGCACTGACTTTAAAGGCTAGCTCCACTTTTTTCGCCAGTACTTAGGGTGTAACTTGTTGCTAAACAGGGTGCAATGCTTTGAAGGTTTCTGTGTAAAAAAAAAAAACAAAACATGTTTTTCCTGCAAAAATACAGTATGTGCATTTATTTGTTTTTAAAGGTGAACCTAACCTTTAACTTAAGTTACAATTACTGTTTTTCTACAGGCAGACAAAAAGATTAAAACAAAACCGTCCAATAACTAGCACAGCAGTAAACTTTAACAAACTGGCTCTGAAAGAATAAACAGACTGAACTGTCATAGCACTCCTATCCAGCAGCTAATTTAGACAACATCAGCAATGTATATGATATGGGACTGTATGGGTAATGGTTTCAAGCAGACATTTCACGAAAAAAGTGATGCATGCCCATAGCTACACACTACATAAACGTTAGCATACAAAACAGCTACAGTATCTCCCAGAAGTGAGTACACCCTTCACATTTTTGTAAATATTTTAGTCTATCTTTTCATGTGACAACACTGAAGAAATTACATTTTGCTACAATGTAAAGTAGTGAGTGTACAGCTTGTATAACACTGTAAATTTGCTATCCCTTCAAAATAAATCAACACACAGCCATGAATGTCTAAACCATTGGCAACAAAAGTGAGCACACTCCTAAGTGAAAATGTCCAAATTGGGCCCAAAGTGTCAATATATTGTGTGGCCGCCATTATTTTCCAGCACTGCCTCAACCCTCTTGGGCATGGAGTTCACCAGAGCTTCACAGGTTGCCACTGGAGTCCTCTTCCACTCCTCCATGATGACATCATAGAGCTGGTGGGTGTTCGAGACCTTGCGCTCCTCCACCTTCTGTTTGAGGATGCCCCACAGATGCTCAATAGAGTTTAGGTCTGGAGACATATTTGGCCAGTCCATCACCTATTACCCTCAGCTTCTTTAGCAAGGCAGTGGTCGTCTTGGAGGTGTGTTTGGGGTCGTTATGTTGGAATACTGCCCTGCAGCCCAGTTTGTGAAGGGAGGGGATCATGTACTGCTTCAGTACATGGTTCCCTTAATGAACTGTAGCTCCCCAGTGCCGGCAGCACTCATGCAGCCCCCAGACCATGACAGTCCCACCACCATGCTTGACTGTAGGCAAGACACACTTGTCTTTGTACTCCTCACCTGGTTGCCTCCACACACGCTTGACACCATCTTAACCAAATAAGTTTATCTTGGTCTCATCAGACCACAAGACATGGTTCCAGTAATCCATGTCCTTAGTCTGTATGTCTTCAGCAAACTGTTTGCGGGCTTTCTTGTGCATCATCTTTAGAAGAGGCTTCCTTCTGGGACGACAGCCATGCAGACCAATTTGATGCAGTGTGCGGCGTATGGTCTGAGCACTGACAGGCCGACCCCCCCCACCCCTTCAACCTCTGCAGCAATGCTGGCAGCACTCATATGTCTATTTACTAAAGACAACCTCTGGATATGACGCTGAGCACGTGCACTCAACTCCTTTGGTCGACCATGGCGAGGCTTGTTCTGAGTGGAACCTGTCCTGTTAAACCGCTGTATGGTCTTGGCCACTGTACTGCAGCTCAGTTTCAGGGTCTTGGCAATCTTCTTATAGCCCAGGCCATCTTTTGTAGAGCAACAATTCTTTTTTTCAGATCCTCAGAGAGTTCTTTGCCATGGGGTGCCATGTTAAACTTCCAGTGACCAGTATGAGAGAGTGAGAGCGATAACAGCAAATTTAACACATCTGCTCCCCATTCATACCTGAGACCTTGTAACACTAACGAGTCACATGACACCGGGGAGGGAAAATGGCTAATTGGGCCCAATTTGGACATTTTCACTTAGGGGTGTACTCTCTTTTGCTGCCAGCGGTTTAGTTGGCTGTGTGTTGAGTTATTTTGAGGGGACAGCAAATTTACACTGTTATACAAGCTGTACACTCACTGCTTTACATTGTAGCAAAGTGTCATTTCTTCAGTGTTGTCACAAGAAAATATAGAATAAAATATTTGCAAAAATGTGAGGGGTGTATTCACTTCCGTGAGATACTATATGAAGAGTTGTAAGAAGTTGAGAAGTGTGTATGCACTAATACCAATGTGTAATCCTGAGTTTATATCTTACAGTTATCTGAAGTCTGCTTTTAATCTTCAGAACTGATAGCCTGGAGAAATACTATCCATCAGAACAGCCTCTGTTTTACAACTACTCAAAATATTCAAAACCACATGAATGAAATGCTAAGCCAAACAGATCTGTGTACCTGTTTACTTGTCTTCTCTTGCACATCTGAAAAATACAAATTTAAATCAAGTCAAGACAAATAATGTGTAAATGCCATATTTTAATAATGCTGTACATTGTAAACTGTACCATATGGAGCCAAGATAAGTTTGGTTCTGCCATTCAAAATCTGTGTTTCAAGCTTCAATCCATCCCTGCAAGATAAAAACAGAGGGTTACTAACTACTACTAACAGGTCACGTTTTAATAAAACTCAATTTACTCTGTATAATATTCTACCAAAAAATTCAATTTTAATTTCTCTTTGTTGATTTTGGATACTTTGCCCCACTTCCAGTGAAACTACTGTAATCAGAACACTTGTGTTCCGTGCAATCCCCCCGCACGCAGTCCTATTCATGTCAAACTGGGTTGCAGAGACTGCACAGCCAGCCGCTGCTCTGAATGTGACATTTGTGCGGGTGCACAGCCCTGAGGGCACAATGTGTGATACAATATATATATTTTTTTTTATTGTGAGTTGAAATACTATGTACACCAAACAAATACTACTGATTATCCTGAAGAATGTACCATAAATAAGCTGCAAACTACACTGCAATACAGGAATTCTGCTACAGTTTTGATACTATGGCGGTACAATCTGAGAAGCTATATAGGCAATATTCCTGCAAATAAAACCATTCCAGTTGGCACATAGTTTATTTCTAGCTTTTACCAATCTGTGAAATAACACATTCCCTTTCTAACTGCTGGCTCCGGAACTCAGAGTACTAGAGAATAGACTGATCTTTTAGTGAGAAGGCAATACTTTGACACAGCACCATACAGTATACGGCAGCCCTTCTCAACCTTTTTAACATGGAAGAACCCTTGATTTAACTTTTTGACTCTAGGTAACCCTGCTAATAAGCATTATATTTACAGCTCACAGTGTACATTAGTGTGAAACTCAGTGGGAAGAATGCTCCTTACATTTCTGGCCATTGGTAATGATCCCCCCCCTTACAAGCAGATAAAAAGATCATTGGTGTCAGTGGTCCCTAATCTGAGAAGCAGATATTGCTTACTGCTCAAGAAACCCCTAGCAATCTCTGGAGGAACCCTGGTTGAGAAACTCTGATATAATGTATGCTTAGCTGATTATATAGGACAACAGAATACTCTGGCATTACACAGATTCAGCTATGCATTTTTACAGCTCTAAACAGCCCTGGACTAGCCATAGGGCACTAAAGGCAACTGCCCGGTGAGCTGGGTCTGCCCAGATAGCAAGGGGGGAGACACATAGAGGAAATGATTCATCCATTTTTCTCCTGCAGTCATTGAATCCCTGCTTCTCCTTCTATCCCTCCTTCACACATTCACCGGCGGCTGGGAGAGAAATGGACGGATCAGTGCCACTATGTGCTGCCCCTCCTATCCATCAGCTGCTACCCTGGGCTCTTGCGTACTCCCCAGGTGGCCACCCCCCTCATCCCCACAGCGATGCTGGGTTCCTGCCTCCCTCTGTCGCCAACTGCTGTAGGGGATCTATCAGGATGAAAAGCGAGGAAGGGACAGTAAATATGTAATTTACTGTCCACTTCCTTGTGTGAATGGCCAGTCAGTGATCGATATAGATCACTGACTTTGTCCATTCATAGCTGAGCAGGGGTGGACTGGGCTGGGGGGAACTGGAAGTTTGAAGCCCAGCAACCAGAAGAGGAAAGGTGCAATAAAATGGTAAAAAAAAAAAAACAAAAAAAAAAACCAGTGGTGGAACTACCGGGGTTGCAAAGGTCACACTTGCAACTGGGCCCTGGTGTTTCACCACTGGGCTCCAAGGGAAGGGCCACCGGGCTTGGGGCTGCTCAGTCTAAAATGATAGGTCTTGGGCCGAGCAGGCTGCTTACTGAACACAGATCACCCACACAGCACAGGGCCCATTCAGAAAACACTTTGCACTGTCTCAATGAATGAAAAGCAAACTCTGATTAGACGTGGTAGAGATTGTGATATCATTGCCCCACCTTTCCATCTTGTCTAAATTAGAGAACAGTTTGCATTCATTGGAAAGGTGCAAAGTGTCCTTTGGATAGCACTTGGGCAGAGTGAGCGACGTCTTGTGTCCATAATGGTATGAGAACCTGCAGCCAGCGGAAATCACTGGATCACAATGTATACTACAGTGATTGCCGGCTTCCAGGGGGATCCCACAGGTATGGCACATGCTCCAAGCTGGCCTAGTGTAGCTTTGCACTGTGGGCACTGGCAGCTCATCAGCCACCAAGGTTGCCAACCATCTGTATTTTCACAGACAGACACAGAAAAACTTTGATTTCTCCCATTCGTAAGAATCTATGTACAGGAAGGAGAACTTGTCCATGAATATACAGTGGCTGGCAGCTGTAACCTCAGGATGACTGTCTGTGACTTGCACACTCTCTCTCTCACATTGCCTGACCAATGTTCGTCCCCACCCCCTCTCTCTCCACCCTTCCTACCCCCAACCCCTCTCTCTCCCCCTCCTCCACCCCAACCCCTCTCTCTCTCCCCCTCCTCCACCCTAAGCTCTCTCCTCTAATTCCACCCTAGCATTTTCTCTCCCCTCCCCTTCTCTCTCTTCCCTACCCTTTTCTCTTCTCTCCTCCCTCCTCCTCCACCTTACTCTTTTCTCCCCCCCAGCCTCCCACTCCTACACCTTACGCTTCTCTCTCTCACCTTCCCCTCCAGCCTACCTTGTTCTATCCCCCCGCTTCACTCTGCCCTCTCTCCTCCTCCTCCACCGTGCCCTTCTCTCCTCCTCCGGCGAGCCCTTCTCTCTCCTCCCCTTTCTCCTCCTCCACCGTGCCCTTCTCTCCTCCTCCGGCGAGCCCTTCTCTCTCCTCCCCTTTCTCCTCCTCCGCCGTGCCCTTCTCTCCTCCTCCGCCGTGCCCTTCTCTCTCCTCCCCTTTCTCCTCCTTCCTCCCCTTTCTCCTCCTCCGCCGTGCCCTTCTCTTCCTCCCCTCTCTCCTCCTCCGCCGTGCCCTTTCTCTCTCCTCCCCCTTTCTCCTCCTCCGCCGTGCCCTTCTCTCTCCTCCCCTTTCTCCTCCTCCGCCGTGCCCTTCTCTCTCCTCCCCTTTCTCCTCCTCCGCCGTGCCCTTCTCTCTCCCTCCCCCTTTCTCCTCCTCCGCCGTGCCCTTCTCTCTCCTCCCCTTTCTCCTCCTCCGCCTTGCCCTTCTCTCCCCTTCTCCCCCCCCCCTCCTTCTCCTCCTCCCCTTTCTCTCCTTTCTCTCCTCGTGCCCTTTCTCTCTCCTCCCCTTTCTCCTCCTCCGCCGTGCCCTTCTCTCTCCTCCCCTTTCTCCTCCTCCGCCGTGCCCCTTCTCTCTCCTCCCCTTTCTCCTCCTCCGCCGTGCCCTTCTCTCTCCTCCCCTTTCTCCTCCTCCGCCGTGCCCTTCTCTCTCCCCCCCTTTCCTCCTCCGCCGTGCCCTTCTCTCCTCCTCCCCTTTCTCCTCCTCCGCCGTGCCCTTCTCTCTCCTCCCCTTTCTCCTCCTCCGCCGTGCCCTTCCCTCTCTCCTCCCCGAGCTCCTCCCCTCCCTTCTCTCTCCTCCCCTTTCAGCTCCTCCCCGTGCCCCCTCTCTCCTCCCCTTTCTCTCCTCCTCCAGCCCTCTCTCTCTCCTCCCCTTTCCTCCTCCGCCGTGCCCTTCTCTCTCCCCCCTTTCTCCTCCTCCGTGCCCTTCTCTCCTCCCCCTTTCTCCTCCTCCGCTCCCCTTCTTCTCCTCCTCCTCCCCCTCCTCCTCCGCCGTGCCCTTCTCTCTCTCCCCTTTCTCCTCCTCCGCCGTGCCCTTCTCTCTCCTCCCCTTTCTCTCCTCCGCCGTGCCCTTCCTCTCTCCTCCCCTTTCTCCTCCTCTCTTGCCCTTCTCTCTCCTCCCCTTCTCCTCCTCCCCTTCCCTTCCTCTCTCTCTCCCCTCTCCTCTCCTCCCCCTCTCTTTTTTCTCTCTCCTCCCCTTCAGCTCCTCTACTCCGCCTTTCTTCTCTCCTCCCCCTTTCTCCTCCCCCTCCGTGCCCTCTCTCTCTCCCCTTTCTCCTCCTCGCTTCCTGCCTCTCTCTCCTCCCTTTCTCCTCCCTCCGCCCCTTCTCCTCTCTCTCTCCCCTCCGCCGTGCCCTACTCTCTCCTCCCCTTTCTCTCCTCCCCGTCCCTACTCTCTCTCCTCCCCTTTTTTCCTCCTCCGCCGTGCCCTTCTCTCTCCTCCCCCTTTCCCTCCTCCGCCGTGCCCTTCTCTCTCCTCCCCTTCTCTCCTCCTCGCCGTCCTGCCCTTCTCTCTCCTCCCCTTTCTCCCTCCCGCCGCCGTGCCCTTCTCTCTCCTCTCTCCCCTTTCTCCTCCTCCCCTCTTTCTCTCTTTCCCCTTCTCCCCTCCGCCGTGCCCCTTCCTCTCTCTCCTCCCCTTCTCCTCCTCCCCTCCCCCTCTCTCCTCCCCTTTCTCCCCTCCGCCGTGCCCTTCCTCTCTCCCTCCCCTCCGCGTGCCCTTCTCTCTCCTCCCCTTTCCCCCCTCCGCCGTGCCCTTCACTCTCCTCCCCTTTCCTCCCCTGCCCTTCTCTCTCCTCCCCTTTCTCCCCCTCCCGCCGTGCCCTTCTCTCTCCTCCCTCTCTCCTCCCCCTGCCCTCCTCTCCTCGAGCCCTCCCCTTCCTCCCCCTCCGCCGTGCCCTACTCTCTCCTCCCCGAGCCCTACTCTCTCCTCCCCTTTCTCTCCTCCCCGTGCCCTCTCCTCCTCCCGCGAGCCTATCTCTCTCCTCCCCTTTCTCCTCTCGCCGGTGCCCTTCTCCTCCCGCGCTCCTTCCTCCCCCCGGCAAGCCTGCCTCTCCTCCCCTTTCTCCTCCTCCCCTGCCCTACTCCTCTCCTCCCCTCCCGCCCCCCCTCCTCCTCCCCCCTAGCCCTCTCTCCTCCCCCTCCCTTCTCTCTCCTCCCCTCCCCCCTCCCCCTCCGCCGTGCCCTACTCTCTCCTCCCCTGCCCTACTCTCTCCTCCCCTTCACCTCCCCCTCCGCCGTGCCCCCCTCTCTCCCCCCTTCACTCTGCCTTTCTCTCTCCTCCCCTTTCTCCCCTCCGCCGTGCCCCCTCTCTCTCCTCCCCTGCCCTACTCTCTCCTCCCCTTTTTTCTCCCCCTCCGCCGTGCCCTACTCTCTCCTCCCCTGCCCTACTCTCTCCTCCCCTTTCTCCCCCTCCGCCGTGCCCTGC